CTCCTGACACGATAAATAAAATATCACATATGATATCCATGTTTTGTAAAAAGCTGCTGTACAGAACACCTAGTGATGGAAATATCAGCACAATGTTGTCAGGTTTGAGGTTTTCCCTTTGGCTTATTACACCTGATAAACATCCTGTGAATACATGATCTAGTTTTACATGTGAATCGGCCCAGTAGGTAGCTTCTGGATGCCTCTAATGAAAATTAATTCAATGCATTTTCTTATTAAAAGCTAAAGATGCTTTGCAAAAGGCTTACCTAAGGATTATCTCCTATCAAATAATGTGTTTTTCATATGAAATCATAACATCTACATAAGAATAGATATTTTTGAGGTATGTGATCAGTTATATAAAAGGCATTAATATTATATTTTCCCCTAACCCTGTTTTTGGTATTATTTACATTTCTGTGTTTTGAAATATTACCGTAGACTAGCAAGACATGTAGGAAGTTTTCTGTACTTTATTGTGTTTAGGTCCCTCCCTTTAAGAGAGAGATAATTTTTAATGACTCATGTTATCTTTTAATAGTTGAACTTAAAGGAAAGTGGTTCATTTTGTTTCACTTTTAATTCAAAAAATGAATCTATACAAATGTACTATTTCTGTGCAAATAAATTACTGCTTGAACATTTCAGCACAAGACACTCAAAGTAGTTGTTTTACTGTAGGAATTTGAAAGTAATCCAGCATCTTTCATGTTGAAAAAATAATGCTGAAAAAAACAATAGAATTGGGGTAAAATAATGCAAAGAAGAAAAATCAGTGTCCTACTGTCCTACTTGTCCCAAAAGGTCAAGATGTGCCTACCCTTCAGATGTTTTATTTATTTATTATTTTACTATGTTTATATACTGCTTTTCGCCCCATGAGGGAACTCTAAGCCATTTCCAATGTAATAAAGGCAAAATTCAATGCCGTACATACATGTGAAAACCAATGCATACTAGCTAGACAATAACATATGACTATAAATTAAAAACCTAACCATATTAAAACATAAAATATAAAATAACATTTGGACATAATACGTTAAAAGATTAAGCATTGGTAATACAATAACATTTATATTAAAACCCACCCTTAAACAACACGCTTTTAAAACAGTTATTGAAATCACGCCATCCAGAATCCTCTTTGTTACAGATTCAAAACATAATTTTTGTGTTCTTTGTCTTTTAAAACTAAAGCTGGCCTGAAAACTATTTGCAAAAGAGTATAGCACCAAAATAAACACATAAGGCAGCAAAATATTCACATTAGAAGTGCTACAATTCATGCTAACAGTGAAAGACAAGAACCAACTATTACTCTTCCAGTCTGAGGCAATAAATTTGCAACTGATACAAAAGGGAAAGAAAAGACTTCAATTTGTATATTGGAATCAATTCATAAATTACGTGCTAGAAAGATGCAAGGATGGCCATCATGTGTTGTTGTTGTTGCTGTTGCTGTTGTTGTTGTTGTAGAGTCTCACTTATCCAACATAAAGAGGCCGGCAGAATGTTGGATAAGTGAAAATGTTGGATATTAAGAAGGGATTAAGAAAAGCCTATTAAACGTCAAATTGTGTTATGATTTTACAAATTAAGCACCAAAACATGTTTTACAACAAGTCAACAAAAAAAGCAGTTCAATACACAGTAATGTTATGTAATAATCACTGTATTTACAAATTTAGCACCAAAACATTGGAATTTATTGAAACAGCTGTGGAACCCGGCTGGGGGCAGACTGCGTTGGATAATAGAGACTGTTGGACGAGTGAAGGTTGGATAAGTGAGACTCTACTGTATTATTATTATTACTCTGCTTTTCTCTCATGGTAGAGGCTCAAAGCAGTCATGTAGTACCAATGGCACAACTGACAATCGGGTTTACATTTTTCATTATACAGCTCTTTCCATTTCATAGAACGTGCTTTCTTTCCAAAAATATATTTTCTTCTTTAGAAAAAAAATCCCTAGCTCTGATGATTGCAGAAATACATTTTAAGGGGACACATGAATCAGGCTTCATGCAGCTGAGGAGTGTAGGTGGAAACAAACTACATTGGGATAAATGTTATGATTTAAATAGAAATAGAACTCTGGGGTGATAAAACAGTGAGTGTTTGACTTGTTTTGCTGTAGAAATTTGAAAGTAATCCAGCATCTTTCATGTTTTTATTGCAATTGAGCATTCATCACCATCTCTGACTGAATCCAAAGAGCTTCTGAACACACCCAAGGATAAAAAACCTATTTACAGCTGAGCATATCTGAGTTGCTTTGAACCGAGGAGCATTTTGGTGATAATAGTTCTTCAATAAAAGGCTTCATAAGGATAGGTATTGGTTTGTAACTTTGATGATGTTGTATACCGATCTGGACTCACATACAGAACTGGTTGCTCTGAATGTGTTGGTTAGGGATGGGGAAACTGTTGCTTTCAGGCCACAAACAAGTCCCAGATACTTTTATGGAGCCTACAACCATCCTTGGATTTCCCCCTTCCATGGGATTGAAAATCATTCCTTCCTTTCACAAAACCTCAAGACTTCAGGTGTTGCAAAGAACAAGGAAGCCTCCCCAGACCCTCAAAATGGATTGCCAGTGGCCAAAATAGAAATCAAGATTCACCTGTGATGTTTGTTTTGCTGTCTGTGTCCCTTCTCAGAAGATTTTGCCTCACTTTTTGTCCCTGTGATATTTAGAATTTGAAAAAATTAGCTTGTTGTGGAAACAAACATTGGTGAGAAAACTTCAATTGAGACACCTTTCCCAATGATAACTCTTTTAGAAGTGAATTTCCATTCTGAGGGGTAGATTTCTCTTACTTCCTATTGTCTCACCCCTATTCTTAACTATGAGTCATTTGTAAATCCGATGTTTTTAAGTCAGGGACCACCTGTATATCCATTCATATTAATAGGCCTTTTGTAGATGAGTTGCTGTTCAAAGTTGGGTAGTCATCTTGTGAGTCTGAAATGGTTTATAACAGAGCATATATGAATTTTAGGGGGCCATGATGGGAGCTGGAGTTGCTGCCAAAGGGGTTCTTAAGACCATCAGAAATATGTGTTTTCTGATGGTCTTTGCTGACCCCTCTGAAACCCCCCTCACGACCCCCACAGGGGTCCTGACCTTCAGGTTGAGAAACACTGCTATAGGGCAAAAGACAACGTACTTTTTATTTTAAATATTTTTCATAATAAATGGAACTCTAAAGCTGTTTTTCTCCTTCCTGCAATAATTCAGTTTTGTCTTAAGAGCCTGCTTGAATTTCACTACTTTGTTCCTTGCAGTCATTATTATAATGGACCAAGAGAAAGTTCAGTCATTAGTAACATCAAAGATGACCTTTTGAAAACTCTATCGTGAAGCGGAAAAGCCTTTACCCTTAGCAACAAGTGTTTTGCAGCTGTAGAAAGCAATTCCATAAGCCAGTGGTTTGTTTGTGTGTGTGGGTCGGAGTGGTTTAGCAAGTGAAAAGAATGGAAACCTATGTATAACATGAATTTACACAGCCAAATGTATGCAGTAATGTACTTGAGGTTGCCTTGTACAATCAAAAGACAAGAAGAGACTTGCAAAGCAAACAAAATAACGTAGTGGACACATACTTTGGATTTAGTTCTCTACTGTCTTGTTTCCATGGACCTGTTTATATCTGAGTCATAGTGAATTGATATTTTAGAGAATCTTGATAATAATGCCTTAAAATATATATTTCTTTAGGTTTTCCCCTTGTCTTCAGAAGAGGCAACTGTGAATACCTCTTACATGGATTTCAAATATATCCTTTTCTCCAAAATGTTTCTTCTGTTAATGACCCCACAAATAATTTCTTATTAATAATTGGGGCAGGGGCTATTTATAGTTCCAAAATTCCTGAAATAAACACTGAGAATTTCTGTCTCATTTGTACAACGTGCTTGATTATGTTAAACAGATTAAATGTTACATATGCTCTTTCTTCAGTGGACAGAGCTAATAGTTTCCTGTATGATTTCCTGATTCCTTTAAACTGCCAATGAATGACAATACATTTTAGGAGATGTCTGGCAGTATTTATTAATTGGTTGCTAATAATTATACATTTAACTTGGCTATTACAGTCAGTACAATGAAGCTTTAAAATCTTGCATTACGTGCAAGTTGTATACTTGATATTAGGCTTGAGCCTGGATCCATTTTTCACCGTATCCTTCAGCAAATCAGGCTTCTTCGGTTTGTTTGGGTGCCCGTAACAGCAAGGGGCCAGCCATCACAAATTTCAGTCCATAACGGGACCATGTGGCAACCGATTTCGGCTCCTCCTCCACTATTCAGCACCACATTTTAATCTTTTTGATTTTCCTTTATTATCCTTTATTTTCGTGATTCTTTTTAATTAGTGGGACTGACTGGGAGCTGGGGACGGGTGGGTGGTGGGCTTGGGAGAGTCACCCTTTTAGCTTTGTTTCTCCTTCCTCTCCTGCAGATACTTCTAAAAGATAATAATAATAATAATAATAATAATAATAATAATAATAATAATAATCCCAGCAAACAAAAAGAAAGGGATCCTATGGGAAGTCTCTCCCCCCCCCCCCCCCCCCCAAATAATGGATATGTTCTTAACTCCATTGCTGACACCCAGGCGCCCTTGAAGGAAAAAAGGAAAGGCTCTCAGGAATGGAAAGGGGAGCCTCGTAAGTTCCCCATTGCCACCAGTGGGCTGGATTTAGCCACATTTTTCAGCTACGGACCAAAAATGGCTATCTAGCTACCCTCCAGTTTTCGAGAGTTGTGCGAAAACAGATAAGGGGGGTCTACTGATATCCAGCCAGCAGAATTGGATCAAGGTTTAGCCGAAATGCACAAGCAGGAGCGGCTGCTTTCTCTAGTCTTTTTGTCACTATCTTGCTTGTTGCACCCATTGTAGTTCATGCTATTCTTTGGCTTAATTTGCAGGATCCCGTTGCTATTTCCTCAGCTGTTTTGACACTTCCTTCTCATTACAGGCTCTGATCCTTCATCAGCTTGGAAGGTTCAGTTTGGCTGAGAAGATCCTTCGAGATGCCGTCCAGGTGAACTCCACGGCCCACGAGGTTTGGAACGGCCTTGGGGTGGTTCTGCAAGCTCAGGGCAACGACGATGCAGCCACCGAGTGTTTCCTAACAGCACTGGAGCTTGAAGCCAGCAGCCCTATCGTCCCTTTCACCATCATCCCCCGGGTCCTCTGAAAGGCTAGCCTGGCAGACTGATGAGCCATCGTGTTTTAGCTGAACATGAAAAGGTTAGGAAGCCTGCCTGCCTTCCTTCTGGCTCCAAGGGCAGCTTTTCAGGCTGAGAGGTAATGGAACCAAGCAGGCAATCTGCTCATTGCTGTTGGGGATTCTGACATGTGGATGTGGTACAGTGTATTGATGTTAATGGAGAAAAATGACAAACCAGAAGAAAATACACACACACAACACTCTCAAACAAAAGTACCACTTGTGTCTCGCCTACATCTTTGTCCCCATAGTACTCCCAAAGCCTGATGCTATTGTTAAAAATTGATATTGTGCCATATTTTTATTAGGTGACATCTGAGTGTTGTGTACAACTAAATAGAATCAAACACCAACTGTAGTATAATAGAGTCAAGTTAAAATTCATCAAAAGAGCAGCCTGTTTTTAACCAAGCCTGTCAAAGACCTGTTCTCTTCAATGTCTTTCAACCTCTCTGGGCCCAGGAAAAAAATGTGAAATTTGCTGTGTTCCATCTCTACGGTAGTCCAAGCCAGCAAATCAGCTAAAAGGTTTATGTTTTTAGTTGTTAATAACTGTGACGTGTAGCTAATTGTCATTCCCTTTACTTAGGAGAAAGGTTGTGTACAAGAATATTTATATTTTACCAATGTATGCCTGTTGAGAAAAAAAATGAAAAGAAAATATTAGTTATTTAAGTTTAACTTTTTTATGTGAATTCAGAGTTTATTTATCAATGGAAATATGTAAAAAGATGCTAAAGATGGAATATTTACCGACATTCCTTATGCATTATACACCCACTTGGCTCAATGGGAAGATTATGTTAATAATAAAATGATTTTTGAATGGATACCGTGTCATTTTGCTTTGCTTTTTCATTTTGAAACTGGATGAAAATTAATGAAAGTGACTAAGGTGTGCAGTTCAGCCTCTGAAACAACAAGGCTGGTGGTTGATTAATCTGATTCTTCTGTTTTATCAAAACATCAGGCTGATTTAAACATGTTATGACCATACTGGGGCAAAAATCCCAAATAGCATATTTTTGGACATTCTCCAGGGTTTGGGGGATGGGAATGCAGAATACATAATACAGCATAATCCACATTGGATGATAGAGCCAGATGCTGTTCCATGTTTTTTAAATGAGCACAATTGTGTGTGTGTGTGTGTGCGCGCGCTTTACAGGTAAATTCTATAATGTGTAGTGAAATTTACTCTCAGGTAAGTGTGAGCAGGATTACAGGCTAAAAGACTTTGCAAAGAGGATGGGTACTCGTCCATATGACACAAAGCAGCTCAGAATGATTTATTTCTGTGTCTCCAGCATAAAATTCAGGGCAGATGTCTGATCTGGGAAAAGGTCCAGATCCATCATTAAATTAGGGGCTCAACAGTGCCTACATGCTGGTTATTTCTGTCAAATTCTTCCAAAAAGTGGTTTTAGAATGTTCCACGTGAGACTGACTGATCCATTTGACAGACAGCAGTCATTTGTTGGCCATGCTTTCTCCCATGCAGAGTTTATCTTTTATTTAGTCTCTTGATTTTGGTGAAAGCAGATACTGACTTTGTCGTTCAGTTAAAGTTTTCCTCTTAAATTGGATCAGTGCACTGCTATGTGAAACAGCGCACTGCTATGTGAAACAAGTTCTTCAAGGAGCCAAGCCGAGTACCATCATAGCATCATATTGTATCTTAAAACATGAGTTAGATTAGAAGAGGCATTGCTAGAACCAAGCTATGGTATCTTCTCAGGGCCCTTCCACACAACCATATAACCCAGAATATCAAGGCAGAAAATCACACAATATCTGCTTTGAACTGGGTTATCTGAGTCCACAGAGCCCCCGGTGGTGCAGTGGGTTAAACCGCTGAGCTGCTGAACTTGCTGACCAAATGGTTGCAGGTTTGAATCCGGTGAGTGGCATGAGCTCCCGCTGTTAGGCCCAGTTTCTGCCAACCTAGCATTTCGAAAACATGCAAATGTGAGTAGATCAATAGGTACCACTCTGGTGGGAAGGTAACGGTGCTCCATGCAGTCATGCTGGCCACATGACCTTGAAGGTATATACGGATAACGTTGGCTCTTCGACTTAGAAATGGAGATGAGCACCAACCACCAGAGTCAGACACGACTGGACTTAATGTCAGGGGAAAACCTTTACCTTTACCTATCTGAGCCATGCCTGGCCAGCTCTGGTCTGCTGGGTTACTCTTAATGTGATCTTAGCTATACAGCTAAGGTCAGCTGTAATTGCGAGGGGTTAAACCTGCAATAACGTTGATACAATGTGCCATTATTTACTTTAATGCTGTGGCAAATAAGACTAATATTGACTCAAAATCGGGATCTGTGATGCTATGGTGTTGCTAGTGATCCATTAGTAGATATCAATCTTGAGCATTCATTTGTTGCCATGAGCCCTAAAGAAAAGCTGTACATGCCTTGTAAATCTGTCACATGTAACATTGGACAGAGTAAGCAGAGTAAACTGCTTACATTGGACAGAGTAAGCAGAGTAAACATAAAAAAAATGACCAAGCCTTTAGAAGGATAAATCTCCCTGAAGAAGAACCAATATGGTTTCTACAGAAGTAAGCCCCTTTTTACTGTTTAAGTTCTGTTAACGTAGGGGTAAGGCCCATGGGCTGAATGTGGCCCTCCAAGGTCATTTGCTCAACCCCTGCCCTTCTCTTTAGACTTAGGGTGGGACTAAGTCTGAAATGACTTGAGGACACACAACAACAAGAATATCAATACAGTCAGCAGAAGAAAGACTTCCAACCAGATACTTCTCCATGTGTTAAAAATAAAAGCAAGAGCAGAAACATCAGCAGGCCACAGTACACACTGATGTTGCATGGCTACACATGCACCATCATAAGAGGAAATAAGACTGAACACTCTGAAAGCCACTCACTGCATGGCTATCAGCCTCCTCCCAGTAGACTCAAATCAAGGAAAAGCTTCATGAGAACCACCACTCCTCTTAATGTTCCCCAGCAACAGCAAGAGCAGCCCTCTGAGCAGCTAAACCAGGAAATCCCAATTGGAGGGTCTGCCTCCAGGGGCAAACCAAGAATGGGCAACTTGGAAGTCCCTGAACAAACTCAGAAGTGGAGTGGGTACATCAAAAGACAGCCTGGTAAAATGGCACTACCTAGAAGAATCCTCCACCTTGTGCAATATGGAGTAGAACAGACAACTCAGCACCTGTATGCTTGTCCACAATGTCCTGCCTCATGTACAGAGGAAGAATTGTTCAAAGCTACAGACAATGCAGTTATTCTTTCCCGATTTTGGTCAAAAGTTATTTAGCTGTTTGTGCTTTTCTTTAATTTTTATCAGTTTTATACTTATGTGTGCAATGCATTTGACACAAATTAAATAAAAGACCAAACATGTTTCCATTGTCATCTATGGAACAACGGGGGTATGAATTTATCTACGGTAAGTTTTGAGAGTCATTTAGCCACTGATTCAAGGAGTTGACAGTTGTGGCTGGCAAATTGATTTAGGTCAATGTTGTACAGAAATTGTAAACCAGTTGACAGATTGTGGTATGCTGGATTATATAACACTTCATGCCACCATGTTGAAGCTTCACAATTCAGAGTTTAGGGCAAATTTTTGCATGGAAAAAAGAGGTTTGACCTTTAGCCCACTGCAGTTGAAAAAGCCAAGCTAAGAATCCAGTCTGGATGTGAACTTCCTTGTTCAAGTATTTCTTCTGTTACAAAAGGGTGCCTTTGTGAATATCAGGATTTGTGTGAAAAGGCTACTCTTGCCTTTCAACTGGAGCTTGGCTCTGCTCAGTGGAAGAAGAACAGGCAGGATCTGTAGGAAGGAGGCAGCCAGCAGGCATAGAGGCCTCATTTGTGCTGCCTGGTAGCATGCACCTAACCATTTTAGCTGATGTTGCTCACAGATTTTCATGGAGAGGAACATTTATGAATTTGTAACCATTCATCCCAAGGGCTTACTTATGTACTTATTTACTTAGGCGATCTCTTGAGGATGATGGTCTTCCAGATGATGGTCTTCCAGAAGTAGCGTCTTGGCAGTGGGGCCATAGGTGCCTGTGGAGCCCTATTCTTAATCCGCATGTCTCTTTTTCCTATCCACCAACATTCTGTTTCCTCTTCTTGAGTTCAGAGTAGAGTAACTGCTTTGGGAGACTGTGATCGGGCATTCGGACAATGTGGCCAGTCCAGCAAAGTTGATGGCGGAGTAGCATCTCTTCAGTGCTGGTGATCTTTGCTTCTTCCAGCATGCTGGCATTTGTCCACCTGTCTTCCAAGAGATTTGCAGGATTTTTCAGAGGCAGCCTGATGGAATTGTTCCCGGAGTTGTATGTAATGTCTGTAGACAGTCCACATTTCACAGGCGTATAGCAGGGTTAGGAGGACAATGGCATCCCAAGAGCACAACACAGGAGAACACGGGAGAGATTGACTTTGCAGAGGTCCGGTTACTAGCATATTTAAAGTAGAGAAAAGAGCAATGAATGCTGCAGTTTGAAAAGTGCCTTGGGATGAATCTCACGTGCATTTGAACAGCTTGGGTCAGAATTCCTTCAGGGCTACCATCTGCCGCATTAACCTGTCCAATTACTGAATTTCCAGGGAGGCTTTTCTTCCAGGTCTTCCTGCCACTGAAGGGGGACTTAGGAGAAGACCTTCTTCACGGTGGTATCCCCGCTTTGGAACATCCTCCAAGGAAGTTCACTTGCTGCCAAGGCTGTTGTCATTCTGGTGTCAGGTGAAGAATTGGCTACTTGCCCAGGCCTTCCAGTACTACACATAAGTAACTTGGTTTTTCTTACTTTGTTTTTACCTTGGCTGATATCACTGATCTTGTTTTAAGCACCTATTTTGCTATTTTACCATATTTAATCAATTCTAAGACACCGTTGATTCTAAGACACTCACTCACTCACTTCAGTATCACTGTCAGAAAAAGCTTTCTTTTTTTCTTTCAGTAATTAGTGCTGTTAGATCATTCAAGGGTTTTAATCCAGTAAAGCAGTATTTGTTTAATACGGAGAGGGGAGTGGGATGAGTTTGATTATATGGCCCACATGCCCAAAATGATCAGTCCTTAAGAGCTGCTTTAGACCAGAGTAAGAAACAAATGAGGCTTGGGCAAAATTGCTTCAGGCTAAAGTCAAACTTCAGTTCTAATATTGCATGACATACTCATAGAGATGTCAATAATTTAACTTTCATATTCCTTTTTTAGAGAGCCGGGAAGGTGCTTTAACCTTCAAAAATGGAGCACAAGAAAGAACCTATTTAAATGCAGTGGGCTTCCCCTAAGAAATCAGTTGGACATTTTTGTTCAATCCTTAAGGTGTTTGCATTCAGTTCAAGAATACAGAAACGAAATTGCGAGTGCAGTCACAATCCACATACAAATGTGCATTCTCAGCCGATTCACCATTGTGAAACCTGTCTTCTAGCTCATTGCTTTTCTGCTGCAAATCATGCCTTACTGACCACTGTTTGCATTTTTGGTCAGAAGAGCCAAGGCTGAGGCAGAGCCAAGCCTTGGGCATCTAGTTCTGCCCCAAGCAAAATCAAGTGGACATCTCTACAGCATTGCTACTACTTGGTATCATGGGCCATAATTCTGTGGATATAATGCAGAAATTCCTCCATGAAAGTAGCTTTATAATTTTGATGGAAATACAAGGGATATTCAGAAAGTAGGGTTGCAAGATTTTTTAAAAAATACAAAGAATGAATATATTTTAATAAAACTTACATGCATTATTTTTTTCACATAATCACCATTCAGTTCAATACATTTTGTCATCTGTGTGATAAGTTTTTTGATGCCTGTGT